TCAGAAGAGAAAGTTTCCTTTCACGTTGGAGCTAAAGATACGTAGATTTGGAAAAGGTGGTGTTTTTGTAATTTTACTCTGATCGTTTAGATCCTGTATTGAGAGAGTTTTAGTGGGATTGGCCCTTTTTCTTTCTTTCTTTTTTTTTTTTTTTTTTTTTGTAGCCAAGATTGTGTGTTCCAACACGTAGAATTCCTTTCTTCTTGGTAGCGCTTTGTGGAAAGGAGCGGCTCTTAGAAATCTGGGATAGGAAATGGACTCACTCACCAGGCACAATTGGGGCTTCCCCCTCCCCCACCTTGTCCAGCCGTCATGGACTGAGCGCCACTTCTCTGTCAGGCGCCCTCTTGTCCAGTCACCACCTGCCACTCTGTGCAATCCTTTGGGTTGAGTAGGCCAAAATTCAAAGAATTTGGCCCAAACTGTACACCGCAATGTTAATATTGCACTTTCTCAAGTATCTGGTAATTGCAGATAGCAGATGTATCATTCGTATATTGTTGGTGAATGTAGAATAAGTAGCAAAAATCATGGGGGACTGAAGATTTGAAAAATGTACCAATTAAGAGTTGTCCCCAAAACCCTTTGGGCTCTGGTAGCATCATTGGGATATTACAGTCAACTAAAGTGACCATTTGATAGATGACACTGTTTAATTGTATATATGAGGCCCTTATATGCTTGGTAACAAGTTGGTCATGTTACTTTAGAGTCACAATTCCTATTATAAGTTTAATTGCCACTCTCTGTGAGCTTAGGCTTCTAATTGCTTTTTGGAAAGGCCATTTGTTCATTTATAAATTCTGTAGATTAATGTATTATTTGGCTTTAATATGCAAATATAACATCCTTGAGTCTAGCCTATTAATTTAGAAACTCCCAGAGGGTGGATGGGCGTTTGTGCACATTATTTTGGTTATCTTCATTAGCTTGAAATCTTTATCCTTTGCAGGTGGATTTAACTCTTGAAAATAGTCCAAAGTCATTCAGAACTAGGACAGGGGAAAGAAAGGGACAGCAGAGAGGAAACAAGTCAGCGTTAGCTGAATGTTGACTATTTTCAGAGCATTTTGTCAAGCATTTAATGTACATCATGCACTTTAATCCTCCTAATAACTTTGCAAGGTAGCTGTTTTTATTGTTTTTAAAAGAGATCATGAAAACAGGCTCAGAGAGGTAAAGCAAGTTGTTTAGGATTGTACAGAGTGGCCAAGTCAGGGTTCATACGTCCATTTCTCTGTCTTGTTGCTCACTGCTTACGGTACGTAACGTGTACAGTAGTTTCTGTTAACACAGGCAAGGTGTGACTATGAGATAGTGAGGTGCAGCATTTCAGTTTTTGATGCGTTACTGTTTCTGACTGTAGGGAAGTTATTATTTCTTTGTGTAAAATAGGAAAAAAAAGCTGTAGGAAACATCAAAATTTCATGTTTAGATTTTCAGGGTAAATTTACATGTATTTGGCCAGAAAATTCTCCCTTACTCTTGCATTCTTTGGTGGATTTGGAGTCAGAAAGTTTCTTTTTGGAGCCTGTTTGTTATCAATGACAGGTGCACCAGGGAGAAGCTTCATAACATGAATGGACCTGAAGCATTTGCTGAAATTCTCTAGTTGTGCCCAGGACTAGCTGGACAGCCTAAGCCTAGGGCGGTAGCCAATTATACTTTGTGATTTTGTGTGTACTTAAAACATCGTAAGTGGTACAGAAATACCAATATAACTATTGATATATAGGTTCAAACTGAATATTCTAAGTAGCAGATAGATATCAAAATACTGCATAATCCCAGAATTGCCTAGTCTGCAGGTTTGCTAATTCTGTTATGCAAACTGGGAGATATCCTTTACACACACATGCATCTGCACTTCCTCTTTCATAGAGTGGAAGGGAGTGCCATGGCTGGCAAGGCAGAGTCAGTGGCCTCATGCACTTTATCTTTTCTGTCTTCTCTCCTTTCCTCGTCTTCCGGGATGCTGCTGGCTGTGTCTGTCTCAGACTCCTTGCTACATTGGAATTAGATCTGTGTATATTTGAAGAGGTTATTTTAAGCAGTTCGTTTTCACTCAGCCCTTGGAAGGGTCAAATATGATGAAGACCCTCCCTGGGTATTTGCTTTTGCAACATTAAAAACTAAATGCCCCGGTGCTAAAAGTATTTGATGAAGCATGCTCACCACGAAAATGCACCAATGAATTCACAGCATTTCACCAATAAGGGACTGCACGTGCTTTGCTTTTGGAAATCTGGAGAACTTCTCAGAAAACAAGCACTCATTACATTACAATTAATCCATGAACTTTACGCTGCAAAAATGAAGAGTGTAAGGGGTAATGCTTTTTTCTAATGGAAAACTCAGCGCTTTTGATATTTATTTTAGCAAGAGTAATCGGATGCTAAAAGTAATTTCAGAGAGGAGGAAAATATTTCAGATAATCTTTTCTTATTTCTTCTCCAAAAAAACTTACACCCATGTTAGGTGTTTTTTAATGTTGAGGTTTTGAAGGTGTTGTCTCTTTCTGGTATTCCACTATTACATGTTAAAAATTGAAGAAGATCTTATTGAAAACTAAAGTCATTGCAGGGACGTATTAAACCAAAGGGGTGAACAAAAGAAGTTTAAAGTTTGTATGTAGAAATGAAAAAGAAGAATAATTGGTAAGACTTTACAGTGGGCATTTTTCTTAAAATACATACCTCCACCCCAAACTGCAAATATTAATTTAGAAGCATGAAACAGACAGGTCAGCCTCTAACTCTTGAGTTAAAGGAAATGTAATGCTGTGTCAGATGAACTGGCATTAGGATCCTAGTGGAGTGTGTGTTCAGCGTGTGTGTTTTTGTGTGTAGAGGTGTGCTTGTGATGAAAGGGTGTTTTGCATTGTTGCATAAAGGACTTTGATTTTGTGATTTTTAAAATGAATATTTATTTGGAGACCTCTTAGGGTAATTTAAAAGATGTATATATAGTTTCCTGTGTTTAATGAAATCTATTGTCAATGTACTAATAAACCTTGGTTTACAACCTCTTGAATACTTGATCATTGAAAATTCAGAAAAAAAGTAAAAAAGAATAAAGTGTGTTGGATTGAAATTAGTTTGTCTCTTAGGATTTTTATTGTTTAAAAGATGAAGCAGTGATGCCAGTGTGATCTCCCACTGTAAAGACTCAGGGGTTTGATGGGAATAAATGGCCTCAACTCTGAAAAACGGCAGAAATGAACTCCTTATGTAACTGATAACTCTGCCGTGAAGCCAAGTGTCCTACATGTAAACAATTAGGACTTTAGTTTTAGGAGCCTGCAGTTGCACATTTGTCCACTGTGTCACTTAAAAAGAATAATTTTAAATATTTCACCACTTATCTATTTAAATTCAAACAGAATTTGGGGCGGCTGAACTCTGTGCCTTGCATATGGTTGACGTTAACCAGGATAGGCTGCTTTATGCTTAAGTAATGCCAACGCCCAAATCTCAGTGGCTTCATAGCACAAAGGTGTCTTTCTCATTTATAGGACATGTCTATGTGGACCTGTTCCACAGAGTCCATCAGGGGCCCAGCCTGACAAGGCTCCCCCATCTTGAAGCTACACCATCTGGAACTTTCAGAGTTGGTTTTGGTTGCTAAGACAAAGGAAGAGCCCAGAGAAAGGTAAAGGGTTTTTTTCTTCCTCAGCCCAAAAGTGACACTTGTCACATCGCATTGGTCTGAACTAGTGCCACGTCACTGCCTAACCGCTAGAATCTTGGAAATGTTGGGGGGTGGGGGGGAATGGCAGGCATTTCGTGGCTGTTATTCTTGGCCACACAGTTGGCCATGATGGCTTAAGGATATTCCCAAAGGAATCCAGCACACTATTCTAAACCAAAGGAAAGTCTCAAGCATAAAAAAGAATGATTTCCAAAGGAGTAACTATCAAAACTTGGTCAACAAAGCCGTTAAAACTGCCTTTCCCCAATGTCTACTGAAAAAGAAGCTACTCATTACTCAAGGAGGTACTGGAGGGAGAACTTCTGCTCAGACTCCAACCACAGTGAAAAAGCACTGGATTTTGAGGTCTCCTCTGATGGTCAGCAAAGTTTTCTAAGACCACGGGCATCTAAAATTTTTGGGTGAGAGGCAGAAGGAGCCATGGAAATAACAGCCATGGAAAAAAAAAACAGCATGACTCAGAGACTGAAGTGCAAAGTGGTTTATTTAGAATCCAGCCTTGAGCACTCTCCAGGTGGAACGCAGAGCAACTGGTTTCTGTTTCTCACTCCATCACTCCCTTGCATACACCTATATTAAAAGGTCACAGTGGCCCAAGATACATGGATTATTGGCAGGAGTGTGTGCATCTGTGCTGACTTCTGGGCAAACCTTTACTTTCCTCCATGGCTTTGTGCATTTATCAAGGGAGCCATTTATGCAAAGAGCTAATAGTAACTCCCGCCCAACGCTACCATCTTCTCTTCAACTGTGTGTGCCATTTAAGCAAAGGCATTTCTCTTGAATCTCTTCAGTATCCCACACTTTCAAGGGAGAGGCAGAGCCGTTTTGGATGTTGTGCCATTTGAAATAGAGGGAAAAAAAATTTCTCTTGAAGAAATGAAGAGAGCAGAAAGGTTAGGAATGTGGCCACTCATCTTCCTTGCTTTAGCCTCAGCTTGGTACAACCTCAGCATTTCAAGAGCTGGTCAAAAGCATCCAGTTCCTTTCTTCTTTTTATAATTGCCTGCTGGGCAGAGATGGCTTCTGTAGCTTCGGCGAATGGGAGCCAAAAAAACCATTTTTAATTGCGCAGAGTCATTAGGAAGCGAGGAGATCAATATTGGGTGCTCACTTTTGAATTTAAATGTCAAAGTTTGATGCAGTTCCAACTCAAAATACGAGCCAAAATCAGTAGAAAGCTGAACTGTTCTTTCATCTGCTGGCATGGCTAAGAGCCTCGGCACTGAAGAAAGAGCGAGCCTGCCATGAATCTGGTTGTTCTAGATGCTTCTTTGTCAAAAGGGTCGTGCTGCTACTTTAGAAATCACTGTAAATGGCAGCCTTGGGAGCCTTACAGCAGCTTTGCCAGGGCCCGGGTCCCGGCTCCCAGCAAAGAGGTCTCTAGTTGCACTAGAGCCACACCTAATGGTCGCTACGGAAAACACATGCTCTACTGATCCCTTGGCCCTTCTGGTTCCTGGTTTGAGCTGTGGGCTCCCAGCCACCAGACACATTTTAGGGTGGCAAGGCTGATGTTCTCTCCTCTTCTGCTGAAACCTATTAGTGGTTGGAACGGTTCCACCCTAGCCCTGGGTCACCTGTGCTGTTGGGGCTGGGAAGTGAGGTAACATCGGGGGAGAGGTTTGTGGGGCAAGAATGCAGATTCTGGCGTCCTGGGTTGCCCACCTGTGTGGGGGCCGGATGTGCAGAACCAAAGGTACACAGAGCAGAAAAGTGAGGCAACGCTGAGCACGGAAGACCTCAGCGTCGGTAGCACCCTTTGTCCCCACAGTGCTTTCCCTAACACCGGGGAGCAGGGACACCCTGGTCCCAAAAGGAGAAATCTGACTTTTGAAAGTCATTCTCTCTACCAGCTTCATTCAGCAGCGGGCTTGCTGCTGGGCCCAAGGTGAGGTCCTCAGTGCTGGTGAAGCCCTCCACTGGGTCCACGGCGTAACTGGGAGGAAGGGGAGCTGACTAGACCAGCGCCAACAGTGGGCACATCAGGTGAGTTTCTTGGTCAGAAATGGGGGAAGGAACAAGGTATGAATGTGGCCAGTTATTCTTTCACGTTTGACCCCAGACACATTGTAAACTGACTATACTTCAATTTTTTTAAAAAAAAGAATGAATAAAATTCTTTTACAAAGCATTTAAAAATCTTTTTTAGGAGGTCAGCATGTTTGGATATGTCCGGCGTGGCGTGGGAGGGTGAAGTCCTCATTCCTTCTCTCTCATCCAAAACTCCCTGCAGATGCTACAATCACAGGAATTTTTTTAAAAGAAGACTGGGAGGAGCCTCAGGTGTTATCTAATTTGGATGTGGCAGCTAGGTTTTTGTCTTGCAGGCCACTGGGAACACCAGTTCAGCAGTGTGGCTAGTCGCTGTCTGGAGAAGCAGCCGGCTGCGCTGGGGGCCCTAAGGGCACGGACGCTGGGATTAACGGAGACGTGTCTCGATGAACCAGCAGTGTCTTTCCGGGGCACATTTTGGGGAAAGAAGCCCGTGCGCTATGCATTTGCCATCCTCAGTTAGAACCTCGTATCTTATCATCAAAGGAGCTGTGAGGGCATGTGGCTTTCCCAAGTCCATACAGAGAGTGAAAACTAGAGTTTGCAGTGAGGTTCATCTTCTGAAATTTCGTGTCTGTTTTTCTTTCCACTACTCCTTACCAGATGGGCCACCGTGGCCTCTCTTCACCGATGTGGGGGGTGTGTGTGTGTGTGTGTACATACATGTGCGTGGATTCAAACAGAGAGAGTAGAAAGGGGCTGGCCCTCACCTCTGCTGAACCTCTTCATCTTCTAAACCCACGGGGCATGTGCAGATGGGAAATCAGCCCAGCCCTCCTGGGCGTCAGCTTATTTATGGATCAAATGAGACCAATTGGCGCCAGTCTCCAAGGGCCCTTGACCTGAAATAGTCTTTCTTGTGCCCCTTACACAGGGTAGCTACTCCAGAAATAGTTATTGAACTAAAGTGGAATTTTCTCCAGGATAGCAACATTTGGCCTAATCACATTTTACAGGAAAGGATCAAGGAGCAGGTCACAGTGATGTGTCTTTGGACAGCATGGCTATCTTGGATTCTTCTCTTGATGAGATTGCGGTGTTACAGACTGAAGGGCATCCCCTCGAAATTTGTATGTTGAAGCCTCAATCCCCTGTGTGACTCTACCTGGAGATAAGACCTTTAAAGAGGTAAAGGTAAGTGAGGGCATAAGAGTGGAGCCCTGATCCCATATGACGACTGGTGTTTTTATAAGAAGAAGAGACTTCTGGGATGTGTATGCACAGAGAAAAGGCCATGTGAGGACACGGGAGAAGGTGGCCCTCCGCCCACCGAAGAGAGAGACCCTGGGAGAAACCAAACCCACTCACGCCTCGGCCTTGGACTTCCAGCCTCCAGAACTGGGAGAATAAATTCCCGCTGTGTAAACCCCAGTCTGTGGTTCTGTAATGGCAGCCCTAGCGAACTAGCACAGATGGTTTCCTTAACGATCCAAAGATGGAACTGGCAAATCCCAAAGTCCTTTGCTTTTTTCCTTTATTATTAACCTCTGAGCTCTGGACATTTCAAGATTGTTAGCCCCTCTCTCTGAAGGGGAGAAAACTCCTCAGGAGACGTGGTGCAGAAGAAAGTGTACAGAACTTGTCTGTCAGAAAACATGAGGTCTTAGATGGTAGTGAGGTCCCCAAAGAACCCAAGCTGCCTTCTGTGGGTCTGTCCTCTTGCTTTTGAAAAACTCCCAGGACTGGATACATATTAGTAGGTTCAGTGAAAAATAGAAATGTGGGGTCCCTTGTTCAAAAACGATTGAGAATTTCAAGATGGCGACAGTAGAGTGTTCAGCTGGCCCAGTGCAGCTGCTCAGGTTGCATACCCAGGCAGCCGCCCTGGGGCTGCATCTGCACATTGCCCTGGACATCATGGAGGCACCTCTGTGTTGAAATCATGTTAATCTGAGAATGTTCTATGAGACACTGACTTTGGGTCAGTTTAACAAATACGGCTAATGTTTAATCATGCAAATTGAAATCGGGACTCAGTTTCACTCGCAGGGAATGGGTGCGTACCACAAAAACTGGGTCAAGTTCATTTCTCTGAAACAGGTAAAGTTTAAACACCTTTTATTTCAAGAAATATTGCTTCTAGACTTTCCTGAAGCCAGAATTGTTCTATAAAAGTATCACAGAATATTACACAAGATTAAAAAAACACAGTATGCTTCCTAGTAATTTGAAGCCTTTTTACAAAGCACATCATTCACGACCATAAATATGTTTCTTCTGTCATTCAGCCGGTGACACACATTATCTGATAAAGAGCTAGTTAATTTTAACATATGTACAGAGTCTACGATAAAGACTTAAAGTTATCAAAGATTCAACTATAGCATATTAAATTTTCTTTAAAAGAGATTACCTTAAACACTTAAAGAAAACATAATTTACCTATGTGTTTGAATTCTCTAAAAATAAAACGAAAATTACTATTAAGCTACAAACAAAAAACCTTGGGAAGTTGGCTAGGATACTGATAACCCTTACTGAGGTAATAATCCTTTTGCTGGTATTTAAAAATCTAATACATGACAAGAATATTTTTGAGGATACAAAATTTCGAACACAGTTTTGAACTATGCCTTAAAAAAACAGAACTTGCTGAAGGCCTTAAAAATAATCATACCACGCACATGTTGTATTTAAATTATGAAACAGTCATTAGTTTGTTTTACTGAAAAAAATTCTTTACATAAATTCAAAACTAAAACATAGTTTCTCAACACTTAAGCTTATTAGCCAGGTCAAGAAAACAAAAAGATGGGGGGAAAAAAGTCTTCAGTCCTTTTATCCTGTTAAGAAAATAATAAAAATTTAGAAATCTTAAGCAGATGAACACTTTGAGTCTGGGTACAGAAAGAGCAGGTAACATTTATTTTGTTTTTTTATTTATTTTTACTGCCAACATCCTTAGCCATGCCTTTCTGCTAAGCAATTTTAGCAAGTCGAGGTAAAACACATGCATCAGTTTCTGGCAGAAGCGCAGAGTGAACAATATGGGATCCATACTGTGTGTCGTCCTGGGGTCCATTTCACTTTGCCACACTGACAGCAGGCAGTCAGACTGTGACAAGCCTGTTAAAAAAAAAAATAAGACTAACCAAAGAGACGTGGCATTCCGATCTCAAAGTGCAAAATCGCTGAACTAAAAGTGAGGGCATTGAAAAATTCCAGTGGTTAAAAAATGAATTAAAACCACATTACGCAGGCAGTGGGAGGTGGGCTGAAAGGCTCACGGAGGATGTCAAGTTTCAGAAACTCAGAAAGGCACAGTTCTAGCCGTCTTGATTGGATACCATTTATATATGCAGGTCCCTCCCTACAACTTTCAAAAGGTAATACTGTTTTAGTACCCCCAAACAAACCAACAAAACCCCACAAATCCACCTTACTCTCGACTCGACTCAGACGTCGAGTTCCCGTGTGTGCGTGCTGCTCACCTGTGCACTAACTTCGACTGCACGTGTGTACCTGGGGTCATTGGAATGTTGGTTGTCATGATTGCCTTTGCTAGTTTACTAAGAAAAAGCTAAAAAAAAAAACAATACTGTGTTTAGGGCAAGGTAACATGGCATCTAATCAGAGTGGAAAGGAGGCACTGCCTTCTAGACTCTGGAAGCTTCCCCTCCTGCGATTCTTCTCCACCTTGTTTGACATCGTCTCGGTGCTGCTGGAGGAGTCAGGCTGCTCCACGGTGGACACTTGGATCCCCTGATGCGTGGAATCAACACCAGAATGCACAGGAAGATGCAGCCGATCTTGCAAAACATCTTCTTCGGGACGACCGTCCTGGCGAAGTTCCCTCCGGTCCCCGCGCCTGGGCTGCCCCAGCTCCATCAGGCCGTCACCACTGAAATCGGTTTCAACATCATTGATCTCCTCATGCTCCATCCATTGGTCAGTTCTATGATTTTTCCAGTGTTCAGAATTCAAACGACTAACTTCCGGAATGTCATTATTCCATTCAAGTTTACTCTCTGGACTGAATGTTGGTCGGTTCGAATGCAGGGCTGGAAGGTCAGCTGGCAAGGTCAAAGCAGGTGCTTCCCCAGCCCTGCTCCTGGGGTCTTCATCCGACTCAGCGGAGGCCACCCTTGCCGGCACGGGATGCTCGGCGGACGCAGCCAGGAACCCACCACTTCGAGCACTTTTAGTCTCATTTGCTTTATTTTGTTCATGGTGACTGTTCAGCAGTGCAAATTCTCTATCTACATCCTTCAAGTAATTAGTCCAGTCAGCCAGACTAGGTCTATAGTTTTGTCTGTCCTCAGAGACACTTCCGTTCACGCTATGTAAATCCTCCAGGCCTTGCCAGGTGACGTCTGCAGTGACACGGGGCAGGTTAGCCCTCCCATCCTTCCCACAGCTGTCCTCTGTGAAAAGAGACGAAGGTGGATCATTAGTGGAGAAAGTATTTCCTATTTACTGGAGAAGCAGCTTTTATTATTTTTATGGTGCAAATCCGTTTGAAATATGACACTAAAAAGCATATTCTCCTAATGATTTGTTATCAAGGCATGGCCTTGGATGACACAAGTGATTAAATGAAAATGAAAATCGGAAAGAGGATGGAAGAGTGAAAACTTCTACGACTGGGCTCAGGTGGTGCTGGAAGTCACTGATGTTACCAGTCAGGGGGCTTGTGTGTTACTCCTGGGTTTACTCAGGTCACCTCTGCACCCAGGAAATCGTGTGAGTGACTTTCCCCGAGTCTTGATCCCTCATCTGTCAAGCGTGGGAATAGCTCTGTGAAAAAAAACCTTTACTACTTATAGAGCTGCTGGGCGAATGATGGATTTCAAAGTATCTTAATGTAATAGGCAACACTTAGTAAGATATTTTTATTTCATATGCCCTGGCACTCAGTATAAAAACACATTTGCATGCAATTAAACTCTTCAAATTAAATGGATCTGTTTCTCTGGGTTTTTTTTTTTGCCCTAAAAGTTCTATCCTTCAGATAAATTAATCATTGAGTGGTTTTCACAGCATGCAAACAATACACCAGCTTTCTCTCAGATATTTCTACATCACCAAGATGACTATAGTTCTGTAGGAAACAACATCTTTCCTCTAGATGTGTCCAAGTACCATTTAGAAAGAGATGCCCTCAGTGAAAATGATAAACTACCCACAAAGCAACACAGATTAGCAGGAAGAGTCAGCAGAACCACACAAACCCACACCCTCAGTGTAACCAGAAGGTAGAGAATGCTGTAGTCTTCAAAATCACCTGTAAGTGAAAAAGAGATTTAATACGAAATCCCAGTAGAGCTGGGTGTCCCACTTTGGGCACCAGCCCTGGGAAGCCAGTGCAGAACAGAGTAGAAGGGATTGAGGATGGAGTCACAGACTGATTTGAAACCATCGCTGGAAAGGATGTCAACCTGAAGTGTAAAATGCTGTGCAGTCTTGGTAAATTGAGGTACTGATGAGAGAGAGGCTCAGAGGTGCACACGGATCGAGGTGGCAGTCTTAAAAGGCATCCCTTCAGGGGGAAAAGCATACAAAGGAAGAGAGGAACATCCTTTGGAAACTGGGTGACAAAGCAAAAAGGAAGCCAAAGAGAGGACATTTCAGGTCCTGCAAGAAAACAGGAAAAACAAAATATTGGAGGAAACACACAGCCTCTTACAATCCCATCCCCAAATAATAACAAAATAAGAAAGTAAAAGGAAAGTATACTTGGTGACACTGACAGAAAAGGAGCCTCTTACACCATGTGTCTTGTAAATACCGGAAGTCCATGAAATTAATGAGCGCAGTCTAAATATAGACAAAATTATTATAAAAGAAAATAGAAAATAAGAATGAAAACTCCATCATCTTATAAAAATGCCCCTGCCAAAATAAACCATAAAGTGGAGGAAAGCACAACAAAACACTGATAAGTGAATTAAATCTTCCCAATCAAGCATCGGAGGATGCGAAAGCCATCTTAAATCAGAAATTAAAGTACGGACCAACGACCGTGTATCTAGCCAAGCACTCCTTCAGGTATCAAGGCTACAGAAAAACAGTTCCAGACATGTAAGGGTGCGGAGAACACGGCACATATCAGCTCTTCTAGGACAGTCTTCTAGAGGATAGATTTCATTCAGCCAAGAGGTCACTGGGGGAACTTCAGCAAAAAGGATGGATGGTGAGCATTTAAAACATTTGCCAGATTCAGGCGTAAAACAAAGAGAGGGGAAGGGTGAAGAAACAATATGTACAAAAGTAGGGCTCATGTAGAAATAAAGTAGAAAAAAAATGCGAGAAGGGGAAGAGCTGGAAGAAAGTAAGGTCACTGTCGTTCACGCAATCGTTGGGAGTCACGGAACACCGTCCAAAATGGACCAGCGAGGTAATCAAGGATCAAATGAGAAACAGGGATTAGGGGCATTAAAAATATGTAAGTTCAGGGGCAACCAACAGAACAAAATACAAACTCTACTACATTTCAAAAGTGGGGGAGAAGCGCAACCATCTTTATAAAGAAGGAGCTATCGATATAAGATGCAATGGGGGCTGTATCTCAGTGCTAGAGTGGGTTCAAGCCCTGGTAAATTTTAATCTCCATTAAAATTAATTAATCAATTAATTAAAAACCTAATTACCTTCTCCCCCCAAATAAATAAGCTACAAAGTATTTTTTAAAAGATGCAATGAGAAATACACAGAAACATAGTAAAAAGAGATACTCCAGCCAAGAGAGGTAAAATGGACTCAAAATAAAGAAAAATATGGAAGATCTCAATATATAATCAATCAGGTAGTTCTCACAAATACATATCCAATAGTAACATACTCTGAGAACAGAGGTTCCGCCTTCTCAAACACACACAGGAATTCACACAATTGGATTATATATTAGGTCACAAAGACTGCGTAAGTAAGTTGCATAAAGTAGAAATATTATAAATAACCCTTGGACAAAATACAATAAAGCTAGAAATTAATAGAATTAAAACAACAAAAAAAGCCCTTTAACCTGGAAATGAACAAACCTTCTATTAAACATCTTCTGGACGGAAAGGGAAATACAAATCTAAAATTACAGAATTTCTTAAAAATAATGCTAACGAAAGCACGACAAGTTAAGACCTTACGATACATTTGAAGCAGTAATTAGAAGAAACTTCATAGCCTCAAAGCACTTTTATCACAAAACGTAAATGAACTGAAGCCCCAAACTCAACAGCTGAAGCAAGAACAACATAAACCAAATGAAAGCGCAAAGAAGGAAGTGATGAAAACGAAAGTAAAATCAGTGAGGTAAAGAGCAGAAAAACGACCTATCCATTAATAAGTCAAAATCCTGATTCTTTAAAAAAAAAAAGTATCAAACAGTCACTAGCCTTCCTAATTAAGTAAAAGGGGAGAAATTTCAAGTATACAAAATAGAAAATGACCAGGGAGAAATAATCACTGAAACATACAAAACTTAAAACTCAAGCCATTACAGATGCTCTGCTCAGGCCACCTCAGTTTTGAAAATCAAATGAGTGCCCTCAGAACTGGAACTTGTAGGGAGAAGAGCTGTATTAATTAAAACATCCTGCCAGTTCTCAGCGATCAAGGAAACTACCATGCTGAGTGGGTTTCTGGCTGACCTACCACTTGCTCCCTGGGAGTGTAGGCACCTCGCCAGGTGCACCTGCCCTGATACGTCTGTTTGCTTTCCCCCAGGCTCAGCAGTGCTAGCGAGCCAGCCCTGGGCCACTTGGAGATGAGGACTGTGTGACCGCGCTCCAGTCGTGACTCATGGCCGGCGTCTGGGGCTCCCCTTCCCTGGGTCTCTTCTCTCAGTCACCTCTCAGGGCTCTGTTTTCCTTTCAAGATGCCTCGCTAGCACTGTTGGACTTTCCTGTTCCGGGCGCCCGGCCGAGAGATGAGCCAAGGCCAGCGTTTGGGCGGGAGGGGAGGCTGGCTTCCTAAGACAAGTGAGGGGACTTGCATTCAGGGCTGTTAGGGGGTGGGTCGGGGCCAGGGCCGCTGTGCGTGCTGTGCAGTTTGCACCCTAGACAGGAGTGTGCCGTGGGGTGACAGGTAGGCACAAAAACCCAGCAAAAGCCCTGCTAGACAGATCACGCCAACAGGTGGGTAAGTTTTTCCTTGCACCGCAGCGGCCACCCTGCTCAGGATCAGTCAATCTAAGCTCTCAGAGAACGTTCATAACTTTGACTTTTCTAACAGAGATTCTTCTCCAAGTGGCCTGTTTCTCGTGTTGCAGAAGAAGAAAATAAGTGCTGAATTTGCAGAACTCTGACATCCTCCCTAAACCGAAGAACGGCACGTACCTTGGTTTAGCTTTAATATACAGGGGGAAGCGAGGGGGGGGGAGGACCCCTCTTTCATCCACTCAACAAAGAAAGGACAGAATGTATGTGACCACCTCTCTGCAAGGTGACAGCTTCAAGGAGCACAGGGTGACACCTAATAATTACAGTACAGGATGTGAAGTGCTTTGACAGGGGCAGGCATGGCGTCCTAAGAGGCTGGTGAGGGCGCGTCAAGAAAAAAAAAAACCCCAAGCAAAAGCAATGTGGACGGAAGCATGGTTGTTGAGAGTGGGCACGATGTGGTCTGCTGGCTGCAGGGCGTGGGGCAGAAGGGTCAGGAAGCAGCCCCGCCAGCCTGAGGCTGCCAAGAACTGACCGTCTAGCCCACACCACCACCGGACACACACCACGACTGCCAGGAGCTCATCAAAGGACAGCGGCACCAGCTTTCATAGGCGGTGGGAAAAATAAACACCCCATCAACCTGTGGATCCTATCCTATTTTGCAGCACAGAAATTATTACTTGCAACTCAAGCCAACAATTATTTCCTGAGTCATGGGGGTCACCTTCCGGGCTGTGTTCTGACTCTGACCTTGTCCCATTCGGAAAATGACCAGGGTGAATAAGAAAGCACTTGAGCCGCCCCAGCCTCGTGCACCTACCGCGCCAAAAAAAAAAAAAAAAAAGAAAAAAGCTGAACAGGAAACAGGCTTGCTTGTAAAAGATCTTCTAAATCGGTCTAAGGATTAATTATTGAAGGTCCACAAAATTGAAGGCAGTTTAAAAACTCTTATTTAGTCAATTTGATACAAGTTGCATTTTCTAGAATACTCTTTTTTAAAAAGAAAAATTTGGGGGGGAGGTAATTAGGTTTGTTTATTTATTAATTTAATGGATGTACTGGGGATTGAACCCAGGACCTCATGCGTTCTAAGCACGTGTTCCACAACCGAGCTATATACCCTTGGATTTTCAAATTCCAAATTCTTCAGGTTTGGTTGTAATCTTTTTTCTCAAAGTCTTGTGTCATCAAATTTCATGATTAAAAAGCTATTTTAATTAGTTTTCTTAAAAAAAAAATCTGAAAGCATCAAGGCTTCCAAAAATCCCACGAGGGGCGCCTCTCCCTGGAGGGCTGTGGACTGGTGAACCGAGGCAGCAGTGTTTCTGGCAGCTTGCTTAGCATCTGTTGTCTTTCAGTCCAACAGGATGCCGTGAGCAGGGAGGGCCACACTGAACGCTGCCTCTGAGCGTCCATGGAGAGCCCAGGTGTGACAGGTAAGTGCTCTTGGTTTGATCATTTCCATGGCTATCGGCTGAAAGAGAGTTTACCTCATAGATTATAAAATGATGGAGGCTAAAAATGCCAGTCATTTTGAGTTAACAGAGGCTCTTCAGGTTTGTCCTTTGGTAAGAAATTTAGAAGAAGAAGAAGAAAAAAAAAGCAACAGGTAACACTAGATCACCCTGCACACACACACTTTCACTGGCCCCGTTGTCAGAGAAGGAACTCCATCAACAACTGAAGTTACCAAGGGTGTGCCAGAACGGTCCCAGAAATGATGGCTTTGGCCCCATTCAGTGGCTAGGGACAGGCATCAGGGACGGGGAGCCCCAGGTCCCTGCCATTTAATTGCAACTGGCGTGCAGTCTTCATCTCCACGTTGTCCTGGAACGGCTTGATGAGGGATGCTGTGACTCAGCTCTGACCAGACTTGTGTCTCAGATAAGCTGTTAATAGCCTGTGACCTCTTTCATGACAGAAATCAAAGAGGGCCAGACTGAAAATCCCCTGACTGCAGAACTGAGTGCATCATAAAATAACTGTAAAGTCAATATCCAGTGTTAGGTCTGCTTAAAATGTCACATTTCGGAAATGTCCTAACGTGACCCCTGAGAAGCAGGCAGAACAGGCCTGGCGTATGAGATGTTACCTTGTCCACCCACGTCCCGGGTGAGCCCAGCTTAAGACAGGGCTCTTCTGCTCTGTCCTACATGTGCTGGGGGCCGAAGGACACAGGGTCGGTGTCAGGGCAGAGTGGGAAAAGGAGAGAAGACAGACAGGAGGGAAGAGGAAAAGAAGAGATACGGAAATGGCTGTCAAGGATCCTCAAAAGTCCAGCTGCCTTTGTCTTGTTTGTTTGCTCACGCCTCTCCCATCCCCTTTCCTACACTCATTTTGCTTCTCCTGGACCAATAAACTGCCCTCTAAAAGGAGGAATCGGAGACGAAATCTCAGGAGGCTGGAAGGGTGACTGGGGGCAGCCAGGGTGCCCTGGAGTGGCGATAGTCTGTTTCTCTGAGACAGTGTCAGTGCGGATGGCGGGGGTTAAGTCCAACTTCCTCTGATGGATGTTCTCCCAAGAGGATTCTTGAACTAAGGTATTGATACATCTGTGTCTCAGTTACCCTGCAGTAAGGTGGTAAGGACGGGCCCCTCCTGCCCCACGCAGCATGTTTTTAACGGACCTGCCTGAGGTCTAAGCTCGGAGGAGAAGGGCATTAGCAAAGACCGACTCGCCCACCGGGCGTTCTGGGTACCGCTCCCTTCCCCCAGAGCACAGACAGGTAAGAGGGATGGGTGGGGGCTGGAAGGGGATAAAAATACCGGGCTGAGGGCCATTCATAAAGCTTTCCTGTGTCAGGTGCTACTGTCTTCGTGCTGTGTTGAGACTTTTCTGTGCATTTGGACTCCAGATGCCCTGACCCCAACCCCTACACCCCCTCTTCAGCCACTGCCACTGGCAGATTCTTCTGAATCCTATCACCCCTGCTTTTCACCAGCAAAGTTTTTAAGGGCTGTAAACCAGGAAGCTCCTCTTTCTCCTCCAGCTTCAGCCTAGAATGCCCTTAAAATTCCCATCACTCTTCTTGTGATTCTGACGTTGTTTCATAAAATCTTTAGCTTCCCCCACGCCTTTCCACCAAATCAACGTGTAAGCACCCCTAAGAAAATAATTCTCCCATTTTCTCCCCAGGGCTCCCAACGGTTATTCTGGGGTTTTTTTTTTCCCCCCTTCACATCATTCCATGCTTAAAAGCACCGTCCAACAAGCAAACAAGCATGGGAGTGAGTAAATGCTCTGAGACATCTTGTGATGACAGTGAGCTGATTTAAAAGCAAAATGACAGATCGGTACCCAATGACACAATACGGTGGAGAAGGCTGTTAGAACATGCATGCACCCCCAGCTATGCTCTGGGCCACAAAGTAAGAAACAGAAATTAGTTAAAATGGCTGGATCATGCAATTATTGGGAAAGAAGCTGCCGGGGAGAATAAAAAATGTGAATACCTGTGAAGGTCATAGCTTCCTCCATCTTTATTTCCTGATATAGGAAAATATAAGAGTAATTTATGTTAGCTTTAGAACTCGTCAAACCATCCACTATGTAGTGTTTCATGCACAATGTCTAAATCCTAGAAGGAAACATACTGGGTTAAGTACAGACAGTGCCGGAGTCCAACAGAACTTTTTCTATTAGACAGGTTCAAAATGAGGATTGAAAGCTATAAATAAAAAGGTTTCAGATAAACCGTGGAAGAGCTCACGTGAAATATGGGTGGGGTGAGAGAGGAGAGCCCACTTAGAAGTAGTAAGACAGGTACTTCCAAGAGCCCATGTAAGTCTCTAATAGTTAATTAAATGTTGGTTATTTTAGACCAAATGCTTGGAAAAAAGGACCAATCATCATTTCCCCCAGGAGTCGTCTCGAAGGTAGACAGGACTACTTGAAGCCTAACGGCTGTAACAGGCCCTCATCTGGAGGCTCTGTCAGATGTCACTAAGCTGAGCTGCCCTGTCATCAGCAGCGAGGCTGCTGTGTTCTTTGGGGAGGGATAGCTGGGTGTAATATTTCTAGTGCCTCTAACAATGGTTTCAGTTTCCAGGCCTTAGTGGGCTTTTTTTGGAGGGGGGAGGGTAAGATTTGAGGAAAAGGTCAACAGATAAGCAGGGTATCTGCAAAGATGGAAGCTGGGTGGGGTCAGTGACCAAGATGACTTTTGCGGCTGGTGATGAAATCCACTAAGGTGTTAGCTGAAGAGTGGTGACTGACAGCTGCGACGGGAACTCCCAAGGGATTTATAATTTCTTCTGGGACACCCAGCTCGAAAGCCTTCAGGGTCCTACAGTGGTGGAAGTGACAGGGGTGATGCTGATCATTTCAGAATGCCTTCCTCCCACCCCCTCCCATCCCCATCAAGTCACATGGCCCCGGGGAGCTGCCCACTGGCGTTGCTGGCTCTGCAGGGAACCACAGAGACACAGGCTCTTAAGGACACCGAGAAAACCCAGCTGCACAGCAGGGGCTGCAATATCACTCCCCGCTGCCTGCGGGTCCAGCTCTTTGCCCCTGTGGGTTGGTGCACAATGCCCTCGGCTAGCTTTGGCTTTCTCCTTCCTTCTATGGACGTCTGGTATTTACATTTCTATAGGAATTATGAGAAAAGAATTCTCATTAACCTGGCAAGAGCTGGCAGCGATGCTGAAAAGAACTGCCTCTCCATGAGCCCAAGGAGGAACAAGTGAGTTAAGGCTGCAGACTAGGAAGGGAGTGTCTGGCTGGCTCCATACAGGCCCTCTCAAGCTTTCAGATCTCAAGACAACGACTCGCTCAAACATCGCCAGTTTCAGATGGGAAGTAACTGGCAAAAGAAATCTAATTCCATGTGTCACGGGCAGGGATCCGATTGGGGTAGCTCCAAACTCTGATAAGAAGAAATAGGGCATTGTGTGTTTCCATCCAAATTCTCTTAAAAAAAAAAGACATATCCTGGTTTACCGAGAGAGCCTCTTACGATTGCTGACAGCAATGACAAATAGCGCCACCAATGCTTTCATCCCATCTTCCAGCGGATGTTTCTGTCAGCCACTGAGGTTTACTAAGAGAACGCAACGGTAGGACAGACTGGAATGAAACACTCACCAGATCTTTAGGGGCATAAAATTTTTCATTAGTGCACCCAGAGCTAAATTTAGAGAACAAAGTGTGTTTGGAATTGCCCAGAGAGTTTCTCCTGTAAATAGACCGACTGTATGTTTCTACGTCTTCTATGCCCAACTGTGTATTTCAAAGGCAGAAAACTTGACAACAGAAAGAATTTTCCAGGTACAAGAGGACAACATTCTTTTTTCCTTACCAGCTTCCAGGCCCTTAGGTCTCGGGTTGCACTGCTTATACCCCTGGCAGCTCCTGAGGCTCATGAGTTGCACATGTAGCTGATTCAAAACGCCCCGCTCCACCGTGTGCACAGTGTTTGTGAGCTGCGGGTGAAGAGACCGGGACAAGACCTTTAAGCTTGTGTCCTGGTTATTCCATTTTCAATCACCTTCATAAGATGAAAACATAGCGACTTACCTGATAAGGATCTGTATTCATGTCAAAATACTCCAAAAAGCCAGTGGCGAACTCGCAGAAGAGAAAATTATGCGTCTCATTAACCGTCCGCAAACACCAGTAGGTGTTATTGTTGGAACTCGTGCAAGCGCAGAAAGAACCCACTGTGATAGGAAAGAAAGACAAAAGGAAAAAAGAATGAAAAAAACGGAGCAGCCTCGCCATTCCAACGTCTCCTTACCTTTACACTTTAAAGTTCACATTTTCTTTTTTGTAAGTACTATGTGGGAGGATGTTAAAAATAACTCTATTTACCCCCCTCTGTATACAAATTTGCTGTGAAATTAGGCGAAGATGGAAAAAACAATGGTGATCTACGAAGGTGATTATAGGCTGAAGGTGAAGGTGACGTTTCAGGCCCGTTAATATGCCTTCCCCTTAGCTCTGCGGGGCCCTGGGCTCCAGGACAGGGTGACCGCCTGGTGAAGGGGAAGGAAAACATCAGGATTTCTATTTATGGTTATTTTTTTTTAAAGGGAAAAATGGTTACTTAATAAAGAGATGTACCTGGTGCCTTAGCCTGTTCTGAACGTCAGGTGGTCACAGGGCACAAATGGTCACATATACACACATGCACAGATGCATACATGTGTGTACATATGTGTACAGGATCCTAACAGTAACTGTACTTTTTACAGTGGCTCATTGGGAAAAACATTCTGAAAACCCCTGTCCTAGAACACCAGTATCGTGAGTGCTAATAATAGACTGTATACTAGAAAGAGCATCCAATTTGCTACTGAGATCCCATCCCCTCTTTGCTTCTCAAAGAGTCGGGGGGCTCCCTAAAATTAAGATCCTTAATAGCAGGAGACCATTTTCCTCACTCACTTTACCATTCCTCATGTCACTAGCACTGTGATACCCAGCGGCAGGCATTCACAAGTTAAACTGACCTGAGTTGATTTGATCCTCGGCCAGGTGGCTTGCTTGCCTGTTTATTCACCTAATATTTACTGAGCACCTCCCTTGGGTCAGAGGGTTCGGTATCTCACAGACACGGTCTTTTATCTTGAGAAACATACAGTCCAGTGGAAAAGACAAATGTTAAGCAAAAACAAAAGCAAAATAAAGAAAGAAAGAAATAAAAAACCACCCAATGTAATTACAAATGTGGTAAGTCCTATGGAGAAAAAGTACGCTGGAAGAATGTGCAAAGGGATTTAACCTAGTCTGAGATGTGGGGAGGGTCGCCGGGAGGAGCAACAATACAACTGAACACTGAAGGGTGAATAGGTCTGTGATAGGCATAGGGTTTGGGGTGGGCATAGGGTCAAAGCCTTCTAGGTGGACAGAACAGTATGTGCAAAGGCCCTGAGGCTGGAGGGTGCTTAGGTCACCTGAGGCAGAGAAAAGCTGAGCTGCCAAAAAGGGCGAGAGTGGGAGGAAATAGGACCAGAGTGAGACAGGAACGTGGCACACAGGGCTTTGCAGGATTTGTTAGGGATTTTGCTTTTTATCCTAAGGAAAACATCTGTCATGAAATGACCACTAACTGCTTTGTGCAGAGTGGCAAGAGAGGAGTCTGGGAGAGGGACGGAGAGTTGGCAGTGGCAGAGGTGAGAAATGGTAACGTCTTGGGGAGGATGGTCTCAGCTCAAATGGGGGGAAGCAGACAGAGATTTGAGGGACCTTCTATAAGCTGGGAGCAAACTAAACTTCATGTGTCTCAATACTTCATCTTTAAAGGGGCTTACTGGTCCTGGACACAACCAGCTCATCACGTCCTCAGGACCCCTGCTCCTGCTAGTCCCCCTGCCTGGGGCACTGCCCCTCTCACCCATCCTTCCCACCACCTCCTCTTCACATGGTTTCTTCTCTCCACCCCTTAGATTCGGCTTAAATTTCACCTCTTCAGAAATGCTGGTCATGCCCACCTCACTAAAAGGGTCCCTTTAAAAAACTCGGACCACGCTTTCCTTCACAGCGTTATTACAACTTGTAATTATTTTATTTATTTCATTTACTTTCTTTCTTTACCCACCTTCAGAGTATGTGTCTTGAGGGCAGAGAATGAGGTGTGTTTGGCCCCCTGTGTGTTCATTGTGCTGGGCCCGAGGCCTGACGGAGAACAGACCCCCGAAAGCCCAGTGACCCTCAGACCCCAAAGCTAAACGCTACGTCTCAGTTCACTCGGCCTCAACCAAGTAAACCTTATGTAAACCTAAATGCAAACGTGGACGCTGAAATCAAGATGCATCCAAGTGGAAAGACAGAAGGGAAATGATCTCGAATAGGCCCCAAATCTCCCCAGGAGTGGTCTGTGGCTTCCTGCGAATCTCCAATCCCAGTTTGAGAAGCACTGACCCGAGTGGTCTCCTGTGATCCCTTCAACTAGAAGACTCGGTGCCGTAGCCACCCCGTGGGACGGCAAGGCTTCCACCAGCGGGGGAGCCACGAGAACTGAGGGCTTGCTGCTGTGGGGCCTCAGGCGATCCTGTGCACAGACCACTGAGGCAAATATGAGCGCCCCCCTAGAAGTGCACGATGGTTATCACTCCACACCCCAGCGACTCTGTGTAAAACCCAACATCGTGCAGTCCCTGTAATTCTGCAAGCACAGGGCTGGGTATTGAAGGGGACTGAGAAGAAGCAGGTCACGGTCCCCGTGTATAAACAGTTTTGACTTCCGTCTATTATATGTAGAGTCTGCACTTGAAATAAAGCAGGAACGGATATATTTGGGGCCAAACTGTCCATCCGTTTATTTAGTTATTTGGTGACAGAGCAGTCTTGTGGGGCCAGACTCCATCAGGGGCTCGGTCAAGTGGGAAATATCACTGGGAAGAAAACCCTGGAGAGCTTGGCATTTTCAAACAAAATACCAAAAAAAGAATTTCTAAAGCAAAAAAGTAACTTGGGGTAGGGGGTGGTGATTATAGCTCAGTGGTAGAGCACGTGCCTAGCATGCATGAGGTCCCGGGTTCAATCCCCAGTCCCTTCATTAAATAAATAAACCTAATTACCCCCGTCTTTCCAAAAATTTTTTTAAAACAAAGGTAATTTTGGGCAAAATGATTCTAGTTGTCAGTATAGGAAATGACATGATGCTTTCCTCTGGAATCTTTCTAGACTCCTGGTTAGGGGCTGCTGAATTCCTAGCTAAGTCACAGTGCGTGGGCTGCTGCGCAGGGAGCGGCGCTGGGATCTGGGGCCACTCACGGTTCCAGAACGGGGCCGTCTGCCAGTGGTTGTTGTCGTGCGTGAAGCAGGTGAGGCCGGGGAGGCTGCACTCCTCGCCTTTCCGCTGCCGCTTCCTCTCCTTCCTCTCTTTCTTCCTCCTGCGGTTCTCCTTGAAAAGCTGCAGTTTGCTGTCGACTTCTTGAGCGGCTTCTCTGTTCCAACAGAAGGGATGTTTTAATGATCAGAAAGTTCCTTTCTCCATGAAATACAGGACTTGGGGTTCATAGATACTAACGACTGTATATAAAATAGATGAACAGCAAGGTCCTGCTGTGTAGCACAGGGACCTTGTAACGGCCTAGAAGGAAAAAGAATGTGAAAAGGAGCAAATATGTATGACTGAGCCACTATGCTGTACACCAGAAGCTAACACAACGTTGTGCACCGACTCTACTTCAATTAAAAAAAGGACCGTTGCTTTGAATCTCTCACACATATATAGGCAGAGGTAATCGATACACAACAATAAATGGTCTTAATCTTTCAGAGGGCCTCAAAATGCAGTCGGGGATAGTGAAGACAAGCTCATTAAGTGACAACGCTCTTAGAATTTGACTGGGTGGTCACAGGATCAACATTTTCCTCCTTACTGACATGCAAAAAACACTGACTTTTTTTTTCCCCTGTAAGTACAGTTGATTTACTATGTTCCATGTGTACAGCAAAGTGATTCAGTTATACACACATATATATCTCTATTCTTTTTCAGATTCTTCTCCATTATAGGTCGTTACAAGCTGTTGAATGTAGTTCCCTGTGCTTTACAGTAGGACCCTGTTGTTTCTCTGTGCTACGCATAGTTCTGTGGATCTGCTGACATGCAAGTATTGATGGAAATACAGGTTGATGGGCATCAGTGGACCCTGCTAGCCACGCTCGATGGGCAAAGGGCTTAACTTCCTGGCAGCTCAGTACCTATCGGCCCTGAAGTCGATGGCTGGTTGGACGACTTGAATTTAGAATATTTCTCTTGACAAATCCTACAAAATATGGCTTAGGAAGAATGAAAAAAAAATTTTTTTATAAGTATCTTGCCTTTACCATAAAGGGCTCAAATTTTATTGAGGCTCAAATCCTAAATCCCCTTCATGTGCAAATTCTACTGTTATTTAAAAATGGTGTCTACTCCCAACATTCAGAATTCAGCACGGTTGCAGGTGGACCTACAGAACACACGGACCTAGTTCAGGGAGTTCACACCTCCTAGTCACTGTCCACAGGGAGCAGGGCCTGCAGTACAATCCAGTCTCCAGTCCCTACGTCGGCAGAGAGCACACCCAGAATCAGAGCACAGCTCCGCGTGACACACCCCCACCCCCGCCACGATTCCAAACACATCGCCCTGGTCCCCTGGCAAGGTGTGGGCTTGTTTTCCACTTCATGCCCTCCCAGCTGCATCTGCGTTCCCCAGGCAGCACCCCTTGGAACCCAGGAGTCCCGGCAGCCTTTCCTAAGCGTCCCGGGTCCAAGTCCTTCCCTCCCCACGAATGTGGCAAACACTTCCTTACTTGAAGGGGTGAAGATGGCTCTTTAATTTCTCTTGCTTTTTTACACCTTTCTCTTTGTTGTAATAACTGCAGGCAAGAAGATTAAAAAGTGAGTCTTCATCATGATGCATCTGATTGAATAGCTGATGTACAGAATGAAAGCAAACTAGAAGGAAGGCAGTTAACTTTCTCATGTGCAACTATCTTAGCTTAATGGGCTTTTATTTTTATCTCCTGCTTGGGTTTATGACATATTTGACCTAAATGGTTTAGATCGTAACACTGAGCGAAAGTGAGTTCAACTTGTTAAGCCTTCTATTGCACAAGCCCAGTGCTAAGCGAATCGCTGTGGCGTGAGGATGGGTTTGGAAGGAGGCGGCGGGACGCTCACACGCTCACCTCTGTTTGCTGCAGCCACACTCCTCAGGCTTCCTTCTCTTTAGATGGCCCCTCACTTCCCGCAAATTCTTAATTTTGTCTTGCAAAGCTTCAATCTGGAAAACACGCATGTGAACAATTACATTTTAAGGTTAACATTTCCCTATACGAGGAGGTACCTTTCTTTTCACCTTACTTTCCGCGGTCCATAATTACAGCTACTCATCTGAGATGTTAACTAACTGGGAAACAGGCTGGCCATAGACTAAGTCTACCTCCACATTTCAACCAATGTGTTACAATAAATGTGAACAGCTGTCTCTTTTCTAATTGAATAGTTTTGCTCACAGAGATTTTAAAAGGTGAGGCTTTTTTCACCCTCTGTTTTGTTTTCAGTCAGAACTATCAGTGTGTCACTGGAGAAAGATACTCTGTTATTCTATGTTTCACATAATTATGGAAAATGCTGAGCGTACACACAGTACGTCCCACCAGTCACAGTAGGGCTGGCGAGTTTGCATCGGGAACACACCTTCCACCCACACGGCCACCGCTCACCTCTTTATCGATGTATGCCTTGTGGTCCTTCCAGGCTCTGGCTGATTGATAGAGTTCTCTCTCACAGTGGATCGTATCATTCGGGAGAATAAAGCACCTGCCAAGACAAACGAAGAAAACCCATTAGAAACAGGTTTATATTCTAATACTAAAGAACGTAAGAAATAGCAAAGAGAACTTCACTGTCCTCTAAATGCTTAACTTGGATGCGAGCAGTAACTTGGAGCTGAGCCTCAGACCGGATTAAGTGGGAATGTTTCCCGGCTACTGGTGAGGACAGAGGATGGTGTCAGAGGGAGTCAAGGCAAAGGTCGAGGCAACATTCGACAGTCATGTCCCTAGGAACAAAGATCACCCCAAACTCCAGTTTTGAAAGCCCCTCCAAAGAATGTAGGAAGAAAATGAGCTTTTCACAGCTGTCATGGAAATGGCTGATGGGAAGAAATACAGGATGAGAAGCGGGGTATTCATCCCACTCATTTTGTTACAAAGAGTCTGCCCCATTAAGTTTGGAGCAGAGAAGTAGCCCAGGGATGGACAGCAGGTGGGATGGGAGTGGTCAGTCAATACTGAAGAGAAATCCTGCTGTACGTCTTTTAGCGTGTAACCATAACGGATGCAGGCACCGGGAGACCCGTCCCAAAGATAAAAGTCCTGACAGAGCTCACAGAGCCCTCCTCCCTAAAGTGATGAAATTGAAGAGAAAACAAAGATCTTGCTAACAAATTCAGAAAGAAAATACTTCTCTACCGAGAGAGCACATAAATTTTGGATGGAACTTGAGAACCAGGGTAGTCCGTTCTGAGAAAGCTGAGAGAATCACCTCCCCCTGCCCCCGTCTCTGTGACTCCCAGGGCCCTCTGTGCTCTCCGGGATCTGGAAGGTGAGGTGTTTCTGCATCTCACAACCATACCCAACCTACGCCATCTTTCTGGAAGCTTCTCCAGGTGCCACAGTCCTCCCTGGGGCTGTGTTTCATTTCTGAGGCCGTGACTGTGTGACTGCTGGGAGCCAGAGTGACCAGGCAGCACAGAGAGCCTTTCCAGTCCCCGTGATGGTCTCCACGTGTTTTCTAGACCCCACAAAGGTACCTGCTTCAGGGCAGAACTCCACGCCTGCGAAGTCAAGATGTGACGGCATCTCTCTGGCTAAATGCCCGGCTGATCGGCCGTCACGTGAAACTGACCCAAAGCACACTCTAAACCCACTTCTGTTGGACTCTCTGTTGCTCCTTTAACCCCCAGTTACCCCCTCGGCCAGCCCTGGGACACTGTCCCGCTGCCTTTCTGTAAAGGGGCCACATCGTGACAATGTGGAGGGGCGGCTTTGAACATAACCCTCTGAACACGAGGCCTTCCTACTTGTGTGTCACTCGGACGGTGGCGGGCAGGCCCACGGCATTGCCGCCATCCGCGGGCATCGCGGCCCCGCCAGCGGCCTGGCGGCCCCCCGGGCCCTGGGGACTGTCATCGTGACGCTTGGCCAGGCTTCTCGGCCGCAGCACTTGCAAGTCTTCTTCCTCCAGGTTTATGTCATATATCTCGCCTTCAAGTTCGACCGACAAGGAACGCGTCTGCCGAGTATGGACGAACCGGGGCTTGTACTCTGGAAACAAGGGGAGACGCATTAATGCGGGTGTCCAGGTACAGCTTCGGAGGGAAGGAATGGTCCCCTGGCTGGGTGAGCATTTTGGGAAGGGGCGAGCAGTACACACGGCATTGCTGAGGGGCACACATGGCGCTGTGGCCAGTTCAACGGGATTCCTGCCGGGAGAGGCAGGCTCTGGTCCTGGCTTTGCCCGCACAGAGCTGTGTGATGGACGGTATGTTTCTGTGGGCCTCAGGCCCTTCACCCCTTAAATGAGGGGCTAGGTCTGGGTGATGCTAAGACCCTCTCCACTTAGGGCAGGCTGTGAACTTCTCTGTTGTTTTCAATGTGAACTGCAAGGCGGCTTGTTTGGATAAAACTATTAATAATAGTATTGACTATAATTTATTGAGCTTTTGTTACATACATTCACCTTGTATTTATCTCTAATGCACAACCACGAAAGACTGGGATTACTATAACAAACCCTTACATTAACAATTTATCAGATCACCAAAACAGGCTCGTGAACTTGCTGTTATCTTTATATTATGATAAAAAAAACCCCCAAAACTGAAGCTTTGAATTTTACGTATATTTTGCAATGGCACGCAGCCAAGAGCAGTGGGAGCTACGACTACAGTCTATCAGATTTCAAAGATTACAAAGCCTTCCCACTACACTGGGCTGCTTTTTTGAAAAGGTAAACGCCCCAGCCACCTTCTGTTTGCACAAATAACAGAAGGCTGCTCTACGAAAAATTAAATTTTGCAAATGCTGGATTAGCCAACTGACAAAATCCCCAGCAGATGGAGTATAAAGCCAGGGAGAGGCCAACATGTTTTCTGGTCACCACAGGCCACTGCCAGGCTCGCTGTGGGCCTGATGCGAGCTTTCAGGGGGCAAACAGTGCCCCCTGCTGATCCGGTGCACTCCGGCTCTGCGGGGGCACAGCCGCCTCCCGTGGCCTGCCTGCTGCTAATGCAGGACGGAGGGGGGCACGCTGGCCGCAGAATCAGAACCGTTGTGCTCTCTGAGGGATCCTCCTCCGAGAGGAGACGCCTCTGTGTGCGGCATCACTCAGCCTGCTCACCAGTTCCATCACTTCAGAAAAGAGGTGTGCCCGCTCCTGTTCTCGAATATGCCCCCAGATGGCTTCAGTTTGTGCTCAACACGAAAACCAGTGTGCGTGATGGTCAGTGCCAGGGAAGCGACACAGAACTTCCTGGGAGCGAAGAGGCTGCCCCGCCTCCAAGCCGGACACTGGGGATCCGCTTCTGCTAAGGGAGAGTGTTGGGGGCCCTGGTGAAATCTTTGTGTGAATGGTTACCCGGCATTTTCTCTCAGGGAAGAAGGATAATCTCCCAAGTCAATACTTCTCAGCCTCTTGGGTTATGAATTCCTTTAAGAATTTGTTAGAAAGTTATGGACATCCAGAAACATGTTCTTATACACACAGAATATACTTAGAAATCTGGATAAAATGCTAGGGGGCTCATGAGCCTATAACGTTCATCTGTGGAGTCAAGGGTAAAAAACCTTGTTCTGACTCAGATAAAGTAAGCAATCTTGTGGTTACTCGGGCAGGGGTGTGGGGGTGGTAACGGGAATGGGAAGGGATGAATTTGGGAGTTCGAGATTTGCAAATATTTACTGTATACAAAAATAGATAAAAACCAAATTTCTTCTTAATAGCACAGGAAACTGTATTCAATATCTTGTAATAACCTTTGATGAAAATGAATATATGTATGTGTGTGCATGACTGGGACATTATGACACCAGAGACTGATACGTTGTAATTGACTACTCTTCAATAAGAAAAAAATCCTGTTCTAAGGGCTTCCACTGTTCTACTGAATGATTTGATTTCTTGATTTGATAGAATTTATCTTAATGTTTCTTGCTTTCCAAACCAGTACAGAAAAGCATCATCACAGAAATGTTACTTTTTACATTAAGCCACGAGATGGCACTAGACTCATTTTTTTATGGAAGGTGCAGCTTGTGGGTTTTCCCCTCTGTAATCATAGGAATCTGATAGCTGCCTGATAGTTTCTATAAGGAAAATGCTAGGCAGTGCTTTTCACACGGAACTCAGCTGGGTTCACCTTGTCGGACAACAAGAGGAATCAGAAAAATACGTTGTCCTAAAACTGACAGGCCTTTTGAAAAAGTATTTATGCTTTTCCTATTAAACGCACAAGCACTGAAATCTTGGATATTTTGTTCTTTCTTTTTCATAAGTATGTGTATGTTTTGCGTCTGGTGTTTTTACTGCATTTTTCATTCTATGCTTAAGAGTCACAGAGCAAACTTTCAAAGCATCTTAGCTTTCATATTTTAAACAGAATAATTATTTGCTTTTAGCCCTAAACACTGGACACTGATAACATCTAAGACGTAGGTGGACCAAGGCATTTTTTGTTTCCCTAACGTCCATTCCCGAAGGCCTCAGCCGGCCACCGTGAGGGTCCCGGGGTCTGGCTTACTCGGGGTCCCCTGGCTCCTCAGGAACTGCCTCTGACTCTTCCTCTGGCTCCTGCCGGTGCGATAACCGGGCTCCCCACAATTGCACTCTTTGTCGTGGAAGCTAGAGAAGAGGTTCCGTGTGCTCTGCCGGACTGCGAGCAGGTCGCCGGACCCCTTGCACTTGTGAATCCGGAGCTTGCCGGACGTGTCCTCGACGCACTGCCACTTCTGCAAAAGCCACCATGAGAGCGGGTTACATCCGAGCCAGGTGTTTCTGATTAAGGACTGACGCTATGGCTTTTAGGACACAGGCAACACCGTTCAAGAGAGCCGAAGGAAAAGGGCCCGCTTTTAAGTGACCCTGGAATGAGGCGACTCCCCGTTCTCTTAGTCACCTCCTTTACTGCAGGCGAATGCAGATGACCACGAAGTCACGGGAAATCAGAACTCCCCCCCACGACACCAGAGCCCAAAACTGACAGATAAAGCTTCAGCGTACAGACTAAACAAGAGTCTTGAATGAAATACGGAAAAGCCCTTTCTTAACTTACCAAGGCACAGATCACGGCCGTCAAGGCTGTTTTCCCCAGATTCCCCATCTCTGGAAAAAACAAACTCGGCTGCTTTGTTCTCTGCCCTTGAATTTCTAACGTGAGCCAGGGAAGAGCGGCACAGGAGGAGGGCAGCGCTGAGGTTAATCGGAGCCCATCCCGGGCCAGCCAGCTCCCCTGCACCCCGGACAGGAGCAGCCGTGCCAGGCCGGCTTTGCCTTGGCTTTCGGCAAACACCGCGCCCCCAGGGAGCGAGCTGCTGGCTGGAGAGGAACCATCACCTTCCCAAGACACACGCGCGTGGGGAGCTGGCCCTCCACCTTCCAGTGGGAGTACAGATACCGCAGGCATATTCCCGGGTGAGTGTGAACAGCACCGGGCTCCGTGCCCCCAGCCTGTTCCGTGGGTATCACACCTGGCTCAGGTAACAGCGCTTCGCCTGGGGAGCAGTTCATGCGCTCCGCTATATCCGCCTTAAAGACCTGATCAAACCTCCTTTTACTTCTTATTTTCCCTTTTCTCCCTCCCTAAGATGGCAATTTGGCAAACATTAGGATAAGAATAAATGACCTTCGAATTTGACACAACATTGTAAAATGACTATAACGCAATAAAAAATGTTTAAAAAAATAAAAGAATAAATGATCTTCATTTTAAGTCGGTCGTGGTTGTTAGAACAGCATACAATGTAGTGTCAGCAAGCTTTCTTTCCCTTCCGTGTATGTCACCTGGGTACAATTATTTATTGATACTTTAACTGGATACATTTCTAAACTGTGGCCAAAGTAATAATACTTGTAAAATTATATTGTTGTGCCAGTTATATACTTTCCAATACACATTAGAATAAGTAAATAAATAATAAATAAAAGCTGTTCTTTCAGGCACCATGTAAAATGATCTCACATATGCCCTCATCGCACCTGTTCTGTACACTTTGGGGAAGCCTCTTGATTTTGAAGTATCCTAATGCAAGGTAGTTTGGCCAGGGGTCCCAGATGACTTGCTCAATAGACAGATGATACTCGTGTACACAATGGTGTGCGACCCTTCACTGTGGACACGATGCTGAGTTCGTTTTCTCTTCATGGAGTCACACGCTTTCAGGAGACAGTGAATTATCACAGCTGCCTCTGTTCCCAAATCCCCGGTGTACAGAATTTGTTCTGTAATTTCACTTTGGCCCCTATACACTCTTGGTGCTACTGAATTATTTCAGGATACAGCCTTCTTTGGTGGCTTGGCCAGAATGTCTTGAATGTTCACCTCTCCATCCAGAGAAACAGGAGCTGAAGAGAGAAGGCAGCTCACTGCCTAGTCACAAAGCCATGAAAACGTAGCACAGGCAAGAATCATCTGAGGGCTAACTATATGCGAGGTGATTTAACTAAAAACCAAAATGACAACAACAAAAAAGTGAATTTGGCTTGATAAGGGAGTTCCATCCGATCAGCGGTTCTCACATGAGGGTGGACACTGGGATTTGTCTGAAGCTACTCTGGTGATTCTAATGTGTAGCTGGGTTAAGAACCACTGCTTTAAGAAAGGCAAATACCATATGATATCACCTACATGTGAAATCTAAAAAAAAAATACAGATTTTATTTACAAACCAGAAATAGATTCATGGACATAGAAAACAAACTATATTTACCAAAGGGTAAGGGGATGGGAGGGAGATCTTAGGAGTTTGGGATTACCAGATCCAAACTACTGTATATAAAAGAGATAAACAACAAGGACCTACTGTACAGCACAGGGAACCATATTCAGTTTCTTGTAAGAAGCTATAATGGAAAAGAATCTGAACAAACAAACAAACAAAAACAAAGCATAAATACAGGACAGAAATAGACTCATGGATAGAGAATATAGACTTGTGGTTACCAGGGGGGTAGAGGGTGGGAAGGGATAGACTGGGATTTCAAAACTGTAGAATAGATAAACAAGATTACACTGTATAGCACAGGGAAATATACACAAAATGTTATGATAAATCACAGAGAAAAAAATGTGACAGTGAGTGTGTATATGTCCACGAATGACTGAAAAATTGTGCTGAACACTGGAATTTGACACAACATTGTAAAATGATTATAAATCAATAAAAATGTTAAAAAAATACTGAAAATAAATGTGTGTGTGTGTATATATATATATATACATACATACATATATATATATATATATTTGCATTGCTTTGCTGTACACCTGAAACTAACATTATAAATCAACTATATCTCAATAAAAAATAAAAGTTAAAAAAAAGGACCACGTTTTAGATTCACAGCTGGTTACTGGATCTCTCTGCAGCTGGATCCCACAAGGAGGACACAGGGGTTGTATTTAGGTCAAAGTAGCTCAGATGGATGAGTCTGTGAAAGGGAGGGATGTATTTTTGGGTGTGAGCATGAAAACAAATCTGTGTCTGGAAACGTACTGATGTAACCGGGTCAGAAAATGACTCCATTTGAACAGATGAACACTTCCAGCCCTGCTCTGCTGGCAGGACTGTGCGCTCTATTTAAGAGTGACCAGTCCTCCGCACTGTCTCTCCACAGTTAGTTGACAACTGACAGGCTTAGTCTTCGTACACTCTCAGCTGAGAACCGCATGTGGCCTGCTCCACGGGTCAGCCACTTAACCCGGAGGCCAGTGACCAGGGCTCCGAGATGCGTCCAGTTTGCTTGAGGAGGTGCCATGAAATACTCCAAAAAAATTTCAGAAACACAAATGCAACTCTGTTAAGAAATAATTAAATGCCATATAGAATTCTTGCCGGTGAAAAGTGTTCCCAAAAGAAATGATAACATTTCATAGCTCTGAAAGGTGTGGCAACCAGCGGTGCTTGAGTATCTCAACCTGTCTTAAATCCAAATGGCTGGAGACATAGCCACCCCCCTGGAATGCTGCCTCAAGCATCCAGAACCTAAGAGTGGACGCCTTAATGTCTGCAGGAGCAAGAGAAGCGGTCAGCGGATTCTCCATCCACAGCCAAGCAGAAGCCTAAGAAGTGCTCTGTTTTCTACCAGGCAGAAAAACGTATCTAACTTTATTCTCGAAGAATAATAGCCTTATGTCTCTCTATGTTCCAATTTATATCAACTTTAGTACAAATACTAAACTTTAAAGCACACAACTACACTGAAAACCTTCCTTAGTTTTATAACCACACTGCATTAAAAAAAAAAATCTCTCTTTTTTTTTTTTGGCCTGGAAGAACAGAGGATACAAGTAGATTCCCGTAGAACACAAAAATGCAGGCAGAATTTTCAGTGATTTAGCCTGTTGGGAGCACCGTCTGCACCTTCCCATAAGCCAAACTCCTTGGTGATGTGCTATCGACCAGGGATGAAGGAAAAGGCTCTTTCTTTACTGAAGAGTCGAATTTAACCACAGCAAAGGTCAGGCACTGTCCCTGGCATGAATGATGGATGTATCATACAAAGTCACATATACATACATGTATACATGCCTATATACATGCACACATATGTACCCACAGATTCTACATATATATAGACATCCACCCACACACATTCTTGTATAAGACAGGAGTCACTGACAAAAATGCCATTTCCTGTACCACGGACTCTCTCAACAAGTCCTAGATCTTATTAGGTTGACTAATTAGCTAGAGGCTTTGAAAATCTTCTTAGTGGCAAGGATACCAGGAATTTTAATGCAATGTAATTACCACACATTTGCCACAGTCATTTTAGTGTTCGATATCATGACAATTTTTACAGCTGAGCAATAAAACCTTGAAACAGCGGGAACTAAAATGGTCATCTTACTTAGAGGGTTTATAAAGGAAGGCGAAGAAGGAGAATTTTTAAAAGAATTGCTCTGAAATGCGCTGCAAGCCATTTACGTGCTTCACATAATGACATAATTTTGCATTGCAGAAGAGCTGGATAAAAGCATGAGCTCAGGTGAGGCTAATGGGAGGTAGAGTCAGCCTCAGAAAGGGGCTTTGCTCCACAAGAGCGCTGGCTGAAATACAGGTGGATGTCACACTGCCTTGCTCTTATCTGTGCTCTTGGAGTTTGTCGGTAAATCAGCTAATGGCCAAACACAATTCTCCCCGTCTTCCCTGACCACTCACTCCTGCAAATTCCTTTCCTGCTTTCTGGGACAACATCTCAATCCTCCTCCTGCCTCCCTGACATATTAGTCTCTGGCTGGTAATTTAGCACACATTCATTCCACAAGTATTTCTGCACATCTACTGCAGGCGAGGTGCTAGATAAAACCATTTCAGTAACTCAGAAGTTATTATCATTGCATCTTAGCCTTTCCAACTACACTGAAACTTGGGATTCAGGACCAAGGGCCAAGCCTCTTACCCCTGAATCCTTCCCTGTGGTTAGCTCGGCATGGAATCACTCTGTTTAGTAATTACGGTTCTGATGGATTATATATAACTTACAGTAAATAACACCGGATGAAGAGGAGAAAGCTGGCTATCTTGGAACAAGGATTCATGTGTGCAGCTGTTCCGGTGGAATCAAACCTAATGAGGTATGTCACATTATCCTCACCTACTGAACTCGTAGCTGATTCCAAGTACTGGATATAAAACGTTATCCATTTAATCTTCACAATAACCCAAAGTGCTACCATAATTCATCTGCTGGAGTAGGATTCTGTAGTAGTGAGTACCGCCTAATTCTG